AGTTTTTCTTCATTACCCATTTAAGCCGTCTCCAGCCATTATTAGTCTCAAAGTGGGTTCCTCGTCATCGAATTTGAATCATAAAAAATGTATAGTTAGAAATGTCAAAGCTAAAAAAGTGGCCAAAATTATTGTTAGTTTTTAAGTAACTTTCAAAATAGATTTACAGTCTAAAATACTAGGGTGTAGAATAACTGTAACTAGGAATAGTGTTGTGGGTAATATTTTCTTGAAAGTTTAATGTACTCTGTTTTAATTTGAAACTAGTCTGATACAGTGATTCTAAATATAACAAAAATGTATTTTACATACTCACTGTTATAGTGATATTCTAGCATAATATATTAATAATCAGTTCAGTTGGTAATTATGTATCTTAGAGAATCTGTATAATACTGAAAGCTAATTATAAAGATTCTAGATGACTTGTACTTAACTTTTCAGTTGAATTAAAAGAATTCTACAAGAAATTGGAGTATCAGTAAAGCCTGTTTTCCTTTATTTGGTAAAGAAAACCTTGATCACTTGCACAGTTTAAGGCCAATATTCAGTGATTTTTTGTAAACATGGTTTTGTGTAATGCATAAATGTGGTTATTTATTGCTTGTCTAATACAGTTTGAAACTTCTATAGGTACACTCTGAACTGAGTCAGTGGACATCACATACTGCAGTACCTGTAAGACCAGTGATCAGCTATACAACACCTGGTAAGTTAAAGATTGTGGTTTGATTAAAGCATTTCATTTAAATAAAATTATTAACTGTTACTCATTTTTAGGTGACGTGATTATTCGTTACATTAGTCTACAGGTTTACCCTTAATATGTCATAGAACAACTATCGGGGTTCTTCTTGGGTGATCTTGAACTTGATTTAAATAACAAGTGTATTATTAACATTTTATAGAGTTGTTTGTGAATATGTAGATGTGTTTTTTGGTCACAGACAAGGTACAAAAGGCAAAGATAATGAGAGGTTTATTGAGTTCCATGAAATTAAGATTTTTATGCGAAACAAATAATCATCAGAAGAACCTTCCTACTCTACCAAGATTAACATAAGTAATTATTATTGAATATTAAAAAGAAAGTCATATGGAGAGACCGAAAACAGTAAAATTAAAATTTCCTCCCAAATATTAAGTTTGTTTCTCTGCTAGTTGCTAGATTTGTAAGAAATAGTAAAAGAAAACATGAACTTTTTCTGTAGAAACTTTAGAACTCGGTACATGTTTTTCTGATACGTCAAACTTGTTCTTTTTGGTCTTTCTCGAGCATTCTCTTCATTTAATGTGTTGAATATATGATTTGTACGTGTTGAAATCAGTGCACTCGAAATTGTCCAAACATTCGAAAATATTTTTGTCCCAGTGCATCTTTATTAGTGTGTAAGTTTAGTTATTCCTTTAGAGTTAATTTATTACAAAAATGTATATATTTACCATAAGAAGGTTGCCTTGTTAAAAAAATGTCTGACTACTTAATATGTCATTAAAAAGTGTGATTAAACATGTTAATGTATATCAAAAAAGAAAGTTTTTTTTTCAAGGAAGGAATTAAGAAAAAAAAGAAGGACTGTTAGTGTTTTTATTTTATTTTTATTATTACATATCTGTTACTGAAAATCCCCTCCCTGGTGGCCCAGCAGTAAGTCTGTGGGCTTATACCACTAAAAGAAAATGTTTTGGTACTTGTGTTTAGCACAACATAATAGCTCATTGTGTAGGTTTATGTTTAATAACAAACAAACACACAAAGTTACCGAAAAAACTGTTTCGATAAGTTATAGAATTTTTTACCTATTATTACATGACACTAGCTACGGACGTTGGATAAAAGTAACATACATGAATCATTACAAACCCGAGAGGTTTGATACAGTTGACTAATCATGTATTTACTCCACAAAATGTGTTTTTCATGATTATGACTTGTTACTGTGCAACTGTGTTATTTAATAATGGCTGGAGATGGCTTGAATGGGTAATGAAGCAAAACTTTAATATGTATGAGATGCTATTTAATTAAATATTACTTTTTTTTTGCTCCAAATTAAGTTTTTAAATTATTAAAATGCGTGCATAAAATGCTATTTAACATTGGAATCTTTTATTTTTTTTTACGTTTCCAGATAAAATGTTGAAGTCTTTTTAATGTAGACTTGCTGACTAATTTACTTTTCTTTTTCTTTTTAGAAATATCATCACAGTCATCAGGTGTTTACTTGACATCTTCTAATTCAGTGGTTCCATTGATTGCCCAAGCAGCATCCACCAATAATATTGCAGATGGTTTCCCAGCATATGGTGCATTTTCACAAGTTGTTACCCATCCATGGAGTGGAGAGTCTATGGTGACTTATGTGACAAATGCTTCTTCCTGTTTTCCAACACAAGTGATAACAGGTGGAATTGGCAGCATTATACCGCCAACCCTGAATACCTTGGCTCCCAGTGGTTCTGCAACAACGAGACTGGTGCCAGACTCCACTGTAATTCTTCCTCCAACCGGCATCATGACTCCCTCAGAAGTCTCGGAGCTCTGTATGACTGTTCCTTCATCCATTACCGTGACCATGGGATCGCTTGCCCCTTCCTCAATTGAAGGAATTGTTTCTTCTGTTGTTGCCCCCGTTTCTGTTACAAGCTTGGGACCTATTTTTACAACTCCACTCTACAGACCTATAACAATGACAGTGCCTTTTGTATCTGTACCTCCTCCGCTGATTTCAGAGCCATATCCTTTAGTTCCTCAGTCATCAATATCAGGAGGTGTTACTACCATACCTCCTCCTCCAATATCTAGAACAATAACCATACCACATTCATCCGTGTCGGAGACATTAGCCCATATGGCTGTTCCTTCAGTTTCAGTACCCGTTCTTCCTGTTCCCCCACCATCATTACCTAGATCAATTGCTCCTTTGTTATCTGACGCAACTGCCCATATTCCCCCACCCTCAATTTCGGGGACAATGGTTTCTGCCCCTCCTCCATCAATATCTGGAGCAGTTGCTCCTGTTCCACCACCACCTATATCAAATAACATTATTCCCATGGCTCCCTCAACATTATCTGGAACAGTTTTCCCAATGGTTCCACACTCTATACCGGGTACAATGGACTTATTGACCTCCTCTTCTCCCTCAGGAACTGTTGAGTTTAATAACTCTGCATCTGTGGCTGGCTCTGTGAACTCTATACCCCACATGACAATTCCTGCTGCATACAGTTCAGCAATAATGAGGCAGATGTCAGTTGCAGGTGCACCTTTAGACACAATACGTTCCTTTCCCCACCCTCCAGTTAGTTCTTCTGTTACTTTCATGTCACCCACTTGTCCTCCCCCTCCTACTGGGACTCCTTTCCAAAGCGAAATAGCTCAAGCAAGACTGTCATCATACATGGAATCTGGGAGAAGTGTTTACCCACCTATTAGCAGACCTCGAAAACATCAAAAACGAAGATTTACAGAAGCACCTGTTCAAACAAATGCACTTGAAGATACATCTGCTAACTCCGTGTCTTTAAGGTAAGCTTATTTCTTTATGCGTGTGTTGTAAAAATATTAAAATGTTATAAATTAGGTGATAAAAGTATTAGTTTTACTGTTTAGTTGGATCAGTCTGTAGTTTTTTTTTTGTTAAACATGTTAAATTATTGATATGAAGAACTTTGCTTCATCAATATATAGGTTATTTTCAGGTCTTTAAGCATTTTTATGTATGGCTATTGTACAGTTTAAGGGATTATTTCATTGGTAAACGTAGTATCTCTTAAATATTAACAAACAATTATGTTCTGTAAATATTGCTTTGATAAGTAATGATTTGTAAGTATTGTGCTCTTTTGCCGTAAACTGCTTGGTCTAGCTTTTGGCCTATTTTATGTCAATTCATTCAATCCTTTGGTAGTCAAACAGTTGTATATTAAGTCAATTTGGTGTAATAAAATAGATATTTCCAGCAATATAAACACCTTTTTTTTTTTAATTGATCAATCCAAATTATATTCACAAAATTTGACAGAATACATCTAGTTTTAATTTTGGCACTGAATATTGAGTTAGTCAAATCTATATAAATATAATAGTACTGTCTGTTGTCTGTCCATGTAACTACCTTGCAGGGTGTGGATGGATCTTGGTATGAAGGTTCATTAGGTTCTTGCAGGGGGGTACATATAAATTTTCAGTTTTGCATTTTGTGGTATTTATGGCCATTTTGTACCACTACCCCACCTCCTCTGCATGGATCTTCACCAAATATCACATGGAGGTTCATTGGGTCCATGGGGAGGTGTATACAGATTTTCAGTTTTGTGGTTTTCATGGGTGTTTTGCATTTTTTGACCACTTCTTTGCCCACTGTAGATGTATCTTCACCAAATTTGGTATGGAGGTTCATTGGGTGTATGGGAAGATACATACAAATTTGTGGTTTCACATTTTGTGTTTTGCAGTTTTTTATGGGTGATTTTGCAGTTTTTACAATTATATATAAGGGGAGCAACTCTTCGTGTCCTAAGATAACTTTTCATTAATCATGAATTTATATAACTTCCATCCAGGGCATGGGTACTCCAGCTAGTTATAAATAAAACTAGCATGTAAGTACATTGACTTCTGTGGTTTTAATTATATTTATAATTTATATTTGCACATTTTTTTTTCCTTAGTTATCTAAGCCTAAAAAAATGTATTTTCCATTTTTTTTTTGAAATTTAGACCTGATTTTTCAACTTTGTTTTGTGTAATGTTTTTTTAAAGCTCGGAATTCATCCAAATTAAATTTTTATTTAATCCTGAAAGGTTTGATATAACACTAAATATAATTATAATCTGTATTTTGGATGAATACTTTATGTTGAAAGTTACTTTTTAATAATTCTATTTCCAATGTTTGAATACCTTTCAAAACACAATGTTCAGATTGGTAAGATTGTGCTAAAGGTCAATACAGAGTCTGAGTATATTATATTAAAATGATTTTGGAGCCTCACCATGTCTTTACTGTACAGCCCAACGTGTAACATCTGGTCATGTGCTGACTCTCATGCATCTTGATTATAACCTTGCTGTGTAGTTTCCATTGCAAAAAATCTCTGTCGTAATGCTTTCACGTGTAAAGATCATCACTCTTTCCTTATCACAATCAAATCTTTTTAAGATTTTCAAAGCTGCAAGTTCATGCAAATATCACATGTAAAAATATTTGCAAAAGTTCCATAATCTGTGTAAATTTCTTCTGAAGTTTCAAACTATTTTACTGGTATTTTTGTTTTTGTAATGCACTAAAATAATCCATACAACAGGTGCATTAAATTGAAGCATCTGATTGACTTAAAAGTAGAGACGCACGGGTATCCGCCCAGATACTGAGCTACTCAGAAATACTCGGCTCTGGCCAAGTTAAAAACAGCCGAAAACGGGTAATTAAAAATGGCATCTAAGCCTTAATCTTTGTGGCAACTAATGCAGTACTGAAAGTTACAGTCAATAATTGGTTTAGTTCCGAGCGACAAAGACTGACCACCCGCTGAAAGTCGGGGATTCTGAGAACAATAGGGGTTAATAAAAGGCATGGCTTGAGAAGTGGATTTCTGGGGAAGGTGGGAGTTTTGAGGAGAATAGGGGTTAGTTAGGGTTTGAGAAGTTGGGGCTAGATATTGAAAGTTGAAAGTAAAACTTGAATGTTCTGTTGGTGATGATTCAGTTAAATGTAATAAACGTAAATTTTGTTTTTGTGTATTTTTTGGGGGGGGGGCTGGCCTTGGCTAAAGCTTAGCGACCGGGTATTCAGCCAAATTTTACTACCCATGTATTTCTACTTAAGAATAAGTTTAAATCCCTTTTTGGCCAATTTATGTTCTTGTCTCACGTTGTAAGAATTAAAGTATTACCATTGTTCAGCAGGATTAGTGCATTAAGTTTGAGATTACAATTAATTGTTTACCAGATCTTATATGTAGTGTAACACACTGAAAGATACTTTACAAGAATATAATTAACTATGGTTTGCCAGTAAAAGCAGACGTTTGTGTAACATTTCACATTTTATAAAAAACTGACGAATGAACTTCCATGCTTGATTGCCATCACAGCTGGATTTCAGCTGCTCAGAAAACGGTTCGTTTGTGTCTTCCTCCCTTTTTAATGGTCACTGAAGGCTTTAGTGCTGCCGTAATATTTGAAATGACCTGTCACACGAGCCGTGAAATGTTTGCTTGATGATTAGCAGAATAAAAATGATTTTTGGTTTGCTTGTAACGACTGAGATTAAGAAGGTAGATATATTTTGAAGTGGTACTTTTACATTGATTTCATTTGTCAGAGAAGTGAAACTGTACATTGCATTCCCATTAAACACCAGCTCCCAGTGCTTTGAAAAGATATCACTATAGCTTTTGCTGTTAAGAAATATTTTATGTTATTCCAAGGAAGTCAAAAATACTTGTTCAACTTCTGGTTTGGTTGTTGTTAAGTGCAAAGCTACATAATGGACTATCTGTGCTCTGCCCATCATGTGTATCGAAAACTGATTTTTAATGTCATAAGCCTTGAAACTTACCACTGAGCCACTGGTGTGGAGGAGGAGGCTTGCTCGACTTAGCCATCATTTGCAGCAATAACGTGCCATAATTATTCGTCATTTCAATATCGACATAAATAGCGAGTGCTGAATCCAAAATTTATTACTAGTGGGATTCATTGAACTCTGTTTTAAATATAGGTAACACATTAATAAGGGAATTGTCTCGGATTATTGTCATTTGTTGACCAGTGGCATTTCTAGGATTTTGTGTTTGGGGAGGGAGGGGGCAAAAAGTTATTTGGGCAGAAAAATTAACACTTTCATACTATTAGAAGTGACAATTCCCATAAATTTTATTGGGGGAGGAGTGGGGCAGAAAGAGGCAAAGAGTTAGTAGGGGCAGAAGGGGTTAAGTGTTATTGAATACAAAAGAAATAGGCTGTTTTTGCTTTAAGAAATGTCTATTTATTTATTTAACTTTAAAAAAGCAGACCCCCAGTGGCACAGCGGTATGTTTGCGGACTTACAATGCTAGAAACCGGTTTTCGATACCCGTGGTGGGCAGAGCACAGATAGCCCTTTGTGTGGCTTTGTGCTTAATAATAAACAACAACAATTAAAAAAGCTGCAAATCATCTTAGGAAATATTTTACAAAGTTTTTACACTAATTTCAATTGACATGTAACATTACAACCATGATATTCTGTTACATAAACAGGCAGTTTTGTTTTTGGGTGTTACACTTTATTCAGATTTAAAAAATGTTTCCAAAAGTGGCAAAGAATTGTTCCGAAAGTTTGGAAATTTTTACACGTGTTCTTCCACCTTAGTGAGAGAAATGTCATTCTCGCTAATCTTTAAACTGCTCTTTCCTTGATGAACAGTTTCACTGAGGCGTATTTATTTCATACATGACAGAAAATTGTCACGTTTAAATAAAAATTACTTTTAACCTTTTTTTTTTGTTTGTTTGTGACTAACGTCTCCAGATTACAGGAGTTTGTTCCCTCAACTCAGAAAAATGAAACTGTTTCACCGCAAGAAGCTGTTCAAGAAAAAGATCGGGAACTGATGCCACCACCGCCTCCGATACCAGGGAAAAAAGGCTGTCAAGGTGAAGCGTTTCACTTCCGATGTAAATATTATTTTCGACACTTGTACACAAACACTGATCTATGTTCTAAACTTAGATAATTGACACAAAATCTCTGTAATAAATCGATGTATCTGTATCGGTGAGTAGTATTATCCTTTTTGAAATGTATCCACATTCTGTTTTGGTTCTTTCGACTCCTTTTACCTGTCCGCAACATATTAAAAACTGTTCACTTGTAGTTGATCTAAGAATACCTGTTACAGAAGACTATTTGTAGCATCCTATGATAGAAGTTAAAGTTATACTGATACCTATTTTTTTGTATTTATAACTTCTTCTCCAAGTATTGGAACCGAATAATCAAAGTAAAAAAAAAAAAATTAATTCTTGCGTTAATCTATTGTAAGTTATTGAAAGGTTTTTAGCTTTGCTCTTTGAAAAAAAAATATCACTGATTTTTTTAAAACATGTGGTCATTGTTGCTGGCCAGTCTTTTGTAAGTTGGTGTTTTTTGGAAAATAGTTAGATCCTTATGTTGTACAAGTTTGGTTTGTGTAAAATATCCATATCTATGTTTTACAGCTTTGTGTTCTATTGTGTGTAAAATATCCATATTTCTATGTTTTATAGCTTTGTGTTCTGTTGTGTGTAAAATATCCATATCTATGTTTTACAGCTTTGTGTTCTGTTGTGTGTAAAATAGCCAGGTCTTTATGTTTGTGGAAATTAGCTATATCTATATGTTTTACTGCTTTGTTTAGTGAGGATATTCATATTGTTTTATTAAATCAGGGTTTCCCCACTGGGGACCTAAAACCCTCCCAAGGGATCACAGGAATGTTTCGGGGGGGGGGGGTAACAAATACACAATATTGCTGAGGTACTCAATATCTATAGAATAGGTGGGATCCTCAATCTGAATGTGGAATGCTTGGAATAGGTTAATTTGTTGTTATGGTGACACAGTTGTTATCACAGTAAGTACTCCAGAAAATTTCCAAAATATTTAAGGTGAAACTAGGAATACATAGTAACTTTTTTTTAATTTTTTTCATTTTCAAAATAAATATTTCCAGACTCCACAGTAGTTGGTGCATTCAGTGGCCAAAGCTGAGGAAATAACTCAGCTTGTTACTTGTTTTTCCCTTTTTTTATTGGTGTTGGATTGCAACTATTTATTGTTGCAGTCATTTCAGCTGAGAGAACTACTGAAATTCAGAAAATCAAAGCCATAAAATACACAGGTCTGCGATGGGTTTATTTATTGTCTTGAAATTTTTACATGTTCTACAGTAATTCCTGTACCCTGAATCTTAAAATGGTATCCATTTTTCTCCATCAAGTACAGATTTTTCACAAAACTTCATAACACAGTACATAAAAGAAAGACCACAACACGTAGTTTTTAGAATAAAAGACGTAGATTTCACAAAAAACAATCAGGATGAACGAGGATGCATATTTGTTTCACATCAACACTCTTTCATTTTCTTCAGTTTGTTTGTATTTTTCTTAACAAACACAATAAAAAACTTTCACTGTGGTAAACGAAATAATAATTTGATCTATGTAAGTTTTTTTTTCTTCCTGATTTGTATAAAATTCTTATGTGATAGAAAAAAATTAATATTTTTTTTCGAAATCTGTGTAGCTGAATTATGGAAAATGTTATTAACACGAAAACAACTTTTAAAAAAATTTAAATTCACAGGCCTGTGTTATTTGCCAGATTCTTATTTCCTGTTGATATCGTCCACCTTTTTATGTAGCTTAGTTATTAACCCAATAGTAATCCCAATTTATTTTAATTATTACTATTATTAATTAATTTATTTTTGCCATGTTTTTAAACTTTTGTTACTAGCTAACATTTCCTTATTGATATTTCAAGTAATATTTTTACATAAAGTACAATGATTTGCATATACTTTCTTTTACGAAAATTGTTTATATCCTACTGTTTTTAATCATTTACTTTCTTTTAGACGCAATATATTTCAACAAGATTACTTATAAATTTTCATTATGCTTTTCTAGTTTTTTTTCATTTTATCCACCAAGTCTTTCAACAAAATTGTTTATAATTTTTATCATTCCTTTTATTTTTTATTCACCAAATATTTCAAAAAGGACATCTGTAATTTATGTTATTTTTTATTCATTTATTTTATCCACCAAATGTTTTAAAGGACATTTACTTTCAGATTTCAGTAATCGATATGGCAGCTTAAAAATTTGTAAAAGTACCAGCTTGTTTTTTAAAAAAAAAAATCTGATGACTCCATGTCCAAAGAGAATTGAAAAGTTGAAATATGAGCAATTTGCTGGTGAGATAAGAAATAAATAAGAATACTGTGGTGAAAGACAAGATATTGTAGAAGTAAAATATTGGTATATATATGGGAAAAACAACAACTAACATTTCATTAAAGACTTGGTTGTTTTGAGAGAGAAGTAAACTTATAATTCATTAAGAGTTTTATTGACTGCACAGTGTGATTGATTTAAAAAAGAGTATTTCATTTTAAGATTAACAAAAAAAAAAGGTTTTAAAGTAATTGTTTAGCAACTTGTATTTTTTGATGCAGGTTCCCATGTGTTACATGTGTAAAACTATCTGTTTAGTAACTTATACTCTTTATTGTAAGTTCCCTTGACATTAAGTCTTTATGTGTGTAAAACTAAAGAGTATAAGTTACTAAACACATAAAGACTTAATGTCAAGGGAACTTACAACATGTGTGTAAAACTATGTGTTTAGTAACTTATACTCTTTGTTGTAAGTTCCCTTGACATTAAGTTTTTATGTGTGTAAAACTATGTGTTTAGTAACTTATACTCTTTTGTTGTAAGTTCCCATGACATTAAGTTTTTATGTGTGTAAAACTATGTGTTTAGTAACTTATACTCTTTGTTGTAAGTTCCCATGACATTGTCTTTATGTGTGTAAAACAAAATATTTTTAGCCAAGGGGAAATATTTCTCTTATAGATATTGCCAGTACTTTATGGTGGCTCTTTTTATCTTAGATATTTAGTTTATAACCAGTGAATATATACCTAACACGTGGTTCATTTTTATTAAAAGATTTGATGGAGATTAAATGAAACAAGTAGATGGACAGAGCTTTTTTTCCAGATGACTTTTTGTCCATAAGAGATTTAAGTTTGAAGTATGTCTTCAACATTTTTTTGTTTATGGGTAATATTGTTGCTAACAGGTATTGCCTTTTGGCTTCTTTTTTTTTCTTCTTTTTTTTTCATGTTCACCTGGCCTGTGGTGGTTCCCGTTTACAACTTGTCCTCATCTACTGCTGCTGTTTATATCTTGTACCATTAACATTCTTTTCCTTCCCCTGAATGTGTTGTGCCTACCGTGGTGGATGCTGCTAACAAAAACGGTATGATTTTTATTTACACTGCTCTGTTTTACCACTTATCAGTAGAGGACAAAACTCGTCAAAAGGGAGGACTTGAAGAACCAGAAAGGAAACGTTTGAAGGGTGCTCTGAAGGGTATTGCCGGTAAGTCACTTTGTTTATTTGACCTGTGAAACAAATAGTTAGAAACTTCTAAAACTTGCTGTGATTAATAATAGTGAGGGTTTTTATTCTTCATAAACACGACTTTCCTTTTATATTTTATTGACAGTTAGTCGTACAAAGTAATCTATAATATAGAGAGAATATATTCAAAAAAAAAATTTTTTTTCTGTGGATTATTACAAAAATTCTTTCAAATTATTTTCATTTCTCACAAAAGCCCGAAGGCTCCTGTTTCAGATGGGGTAAGATTTAAAATATGATAGTCATGACGTGAGGACTAAACACCTCTTTTATACTTTTGAGTTATGCTGCTCTACATTTGTTAATCTATTATTAATTTAGAATAAAACAAATAACTTCACATCCTTTCTTATAATAATAGGCTGTGAAAATGAATTTCCATGATCTCATTCATCTGACAGGGCATTATAACAGTGGCAATAGTCTCTTTAATAGTTTATTGATGAACAAGTAAGAATCTTGGATATTTTGTGTATAGTAAGGCATGCTTGTTTAAAACTATATAATGAATTACAGTATTTTTAACAGTACGGCAAGTGTTTCTAGCCTGTATGGCGTATGTTAGATTATATTTATTTTGAGCAGAGATAAATAGAATTCTGTAAGAAGTTCTGCATTTATTTTGAACGGGAATTCTTATACCTAGAACTTTTCCAAAATTTAAGACAGAGTGTGATGAGATTATTTGATTATGTGGGCAGATAGCACGTGTATGTGAAAGTGTCAGTTTACGTGGCAGTTAGCACGTGCATGTGAAAGTGTCAGTTTATGTGGCAGTTAACACATGTATGTGTTAGTATCAGTTTATGTGGCAGTTAACACATGTATGTGAAAGTGTCAGTTTATGTGGCAGTGAGCACATGCATGTGAAAGTGTCAGTTTATGTGGCAGTGAGCACATGCATGTGAAAGTGTCAGTTTACCTGGCAGTTAGCACGTGCATGTGAAAGTGTCAGTTTACGTGGCAGTTAACACATGTATGTGTTAGTAGCAGTTTATGTGGCAGTGAGCACATGTATGTGTTAGTATCAGTTTATGTGGCAGTTAACTCATGTATGTGTTAGTGTCAGTTTATGTGGCAGTTAACACATGTATGTGTTAGTATCAGTTTACGTGGCAGTGAGCACGTATGTGTTAGTATCAGTTTACGTGGCAGTGAGCACATGTATGTGTTAGTGTCAGTTTACGTGGCAGTGAGCACATGTATGTGTTAGTGTCAGTTTACGTGGCAGTTAACACATGTATGTGTTAGTATCAGTTTATGTGGTAGTGAGCACATGTATGTGAAATTGTCAATTTACGTGACAGTTAACACATGTATGTGTTAGTATCAGTTTACATGGCAGTGAGCACATGTATGTGTTAGTGTCAGTTTATGTGGCAGTTAACACATGTATGTGTTAGTGTCAGTTTATGTGGCAGTTAACACATGTATGTGTTAGTGTCAGTTTACGTGGCCGTGAGCACATGTATGTGTTAGTGTCAGTTTATGTGGCAGTTAGCACATGTATGTGTTAGTGGCAGTTTATGTGGCAGTTAGCACATGTATGTGTTAGTGTCAGTTTAATGTGGTAGTTAACACATGAATGTGAAATTGTCAGTTTACGTGGCAGTTAACGCATGTATGTGTTAGTGTCAGTTTACGTGGCAGTTAATGCATGTATGTGTTAGTGTCAGTTTATGTGGCAGTGAGCACATGTATATGAAATTGTCAGTTTACGTGGCAGTTAACACATGTATGTGTTAGTGTCAGTTTATGTGGCAGTGAGCACATGTATGTGAAATTGTCAGTTTACGTGGCAGTTAACACATGTATGTGTTAGTGTCAGTTTATGTGGCAGTTAACACATCTATGTATTAGTGTCAGTTTATGTGGCAGTTAACACATGTATGTGTTAGTGTCAGTTTATGTGGCAGTGAGCACGTGCATGTGAATGTGTCAGTTTATGTGGCAGTGAGCACATGTATGTGTTAGTGTCAGTTTATGTGGCAGTGAGCACATGTATGTGT